GAGTACAACCTGGTTACCGCGGGCCTTGATCTGCTGCACCACCTGGAAGGATTCACCCTGCCCAGGATGCCACTCCGGGCACAGCCTGTGGGATCAGGGCCCCGGAGGGCAGCAGGGTCCCGCACCCTCCGTCCCCCCAGCCGAGGGGGACCCGGGTGTTCCCGGGGTGCTCCCAGGGTGCTCCCAGCTTACCCTGTGGTGATCCAGGTGGTCCACGAAGCAGCCGTTGACCTGGAGGAGCCGGTCCCCATCCTGCAGCCCCCTGTGCTGGGCCAGCCCCCCCAGCTCCACCTGCCTGACGACGTGGCCCCGGCAGCCCAGCTCCTCGTGGAGGCCGAAGCCTTCGGCGCTGCCCTTGCTCAGGAGGTAGAAGCGAGGCTGCCCCACGCCTGTGCCATCTGTGTGGGGCACAGCCCGTGAGCAGGGCCACGCAGGGATCCTAACACCAGTCCTCTTCCCCATCCCAGTCCCAGGATGTTCACCTGACGTGTTCACCTCCCCAAAAACACCCCAGGTAAGAGAGCCCCGGAGCCCAGTGATGCCCAGCTGTCAGAACTCCATGCTGGCACAGGGATGCCCTGGGGTGATAAGGGTATTTACCCATGTCCTCAGCCAGCGACAAGGCAGGGTTGTCAATCCCATCTTTGGGGTTAAATTCAAATTTTCTGAAATGATAAAGGGCAGGAGAGGCTGTGTTAGAGCAGGAGCATGGCCTCCACACTGCCCACCCCAGCCTTGCCATGGGGAGCCCCATTCCTCCCAGAAAGAGCCAGCCAGAAATCCCTTTTGGACTGTCCCCCACATCTCTCCTGAGCTGACCACTCAGGGAAGACCTTCCTGGGGCAGGCAGCTGGGACTGGGAGCTGTGAACCCCCACCACCTCAGCTGAGGATGCAGCCCAGCACAGTTCAGCTGTAGGGACAGGAGCCCCAGGAAGCCCCCAGCCAGATGGACTTACACAATGGACTTCTTGTCACCCTCGAGCCCTGCAGAGGGAGAGGAGAGTCAGTGCAGGAGGCGGTGGGCTCAAGGCAGACCCCACTCTCTGGAGCACTCAGGGCTTGTCCATTCACAGGCTGAGCACACCACACCAGGTGAGGTGGGTTTGCTGAGTCCATGCAGCCCCCTCAGCCTCCCCCCAGCATCCCAGCTACAGCCTGTGCCTGGGCAAAGCTCAGCCCTTAACCCTGTCACCAGTGTCCTCTTGTATTTCAAAGCAGCAGGACACCTGCTGCTTGGCTCCAGTGGGCACCCACCACCCTGCCCAGCAGGATCCTGCAGCACCAGGGGCAAAGCAGGGCTGGGCAGAGGTATGGAGGTTAATCCTGGGGGTTTACAGGGCTCTGAGTGAGGAATTAGAAGGGTCACCAGGGCCCCAGGGAGCTGACTGGAGCCAGGAGACAGAGACAGAGGCTTTCCCTGCACCTCTCACCCACAAAACCCCTCCCCACCCTCTTCAGCACAAGGACCCCTAAACCCAAGGAGAGCAGATTCCTGCCAGGTGCCTCCACAGCATCCACCTCTATATTCCTGGGTGCCTCTAGCTCCTTTCCATGGCCCGCCTGGGGTCTGACATTGCCTTGCTCCTTGCAGGAGCAGGGTGTGGAGATGTGCGTGTGGGGAAGGGTCTCTGCAGGATGAAGCCCCACTGCTCTGGCACGTACCTTTTGTTTGCTTCATGGCTGCAGGGAATGCGAGAGGGAGCAAGGTACAGGTGAAGTGGCAGGGGAGGCAGGGGT